CAGTACATATTCTAGGAAACTTGGTGAGGGATCCCATTAGTTAATAACCACACTACATGCAGTCATAAAAGGATTCCTCAAAGGGATAGTTAAGACCATTGTAAGAATGTCTTCCTTGATAAATGGGAAATGATCCCTGAGCAGACATGGGGAATGGAAACGTGACTCATGGCACTCCCTTGATATAGGAATGATTCCCTCATTTCTGAGGACCTGACAAATTGTCCCTAAGAAGAGAGAATGGAACGTTGCTTAGAGATGGCTTACTCAGGACCTAGCCTCCTGTTGCCAGTCTTGACCAGACCCTGCCAAGTTAAGGAAGCTTTCCATCTGATTTCTTGTCAGTATTTGTAATTTGTAGTGAAAACTTTTTTGTACTTGTCCTCTGAGCGTTCGTGATTAATTGTGCTCTGGGTAGGTTATTACACACATCATCTACTTTGATTCATAGGAGTTTCTGTTTGGAGAGAGGAGCTAGAAATGAAACTGCCTGTAGACTATAACTTTCTGACCTTATCCAGGATGTGGTTTCTTTTTAGTACTCTTGGGAGGCTGGAGAAAATGGTAGGAAGACAGTCAGTACTGTCCAATGTTTGGAACAAATCTCAAGGACCAGGACTATGTTTATCATGTCTTCTTTTAATATTTCACATGGTCATGGGAATGTTACGGATTCTTGCTGTGGTTCAATTTTCCCACTTGGAAAACAGATTAGAATTTCTGTCTGCCTTCTTTATACTATTGGCTACATAGAACTTCCCAGGAAATCCCAGGATCTGAAGCTTACTTGTGGGTCATAAGGGGAGAAATGTGTATGTACATGTATGTTAATTCATATTTAGTATATATATTTTATGTTAGTATGTTACCTAATTAAACCAGTGTTTATACTCCATTTTAAACAAGGCTCTCATCATTACGCACTCTCAGGATAGAGAAAAAAAAGCAGTGTTTAGCTTTGTGAACAAAATAGTAAACACAAGCACAAGTAATCAATTTACAAAGCATATCAAGCATCATTATGATGTGCCACAAAAGCCACATAGATACACACAGAGCTGCCTAATCTTAATTTTAAGCAAAAACAAAACAAAACAAAACAAAACCACCACCACCACCAACAAACTAAGAACCCTAAGAACCAAAATGATTTCTTTTTTTACACATAGATACACACAGAGCTGCCTAATCTTAATTTTAAGCAAAAACAAAACAAAACAAAACCACCACCACCAACAACAAACTAAGAACCCTAAGAACCAAAATGATTTCTTTTTTTTAAAAAAGAAACTAATCTGACAAACAAGTAACTAACTCTAAAGTGAACTGGACTGACAGGGAACTACGGTTTCACCTTCTGAATCAAGACTGATAATTAGCTAATGATAATTACCATTCAGACCTAAACCAATACAGGATGTATGTTAAAATAAAGATGGAATAAGAACTAATAATCAAGGGCTGGCTGGTTAGCTCAGTTGGTTAGAGTGGGGTGTTATAACACCAAGGTTCAAAAGTTCAAATCCCCATATACCAGCCACCAAAAAAACCCAAAAAAACTTAAGAACAAGTAATCACAGCAGGATTGATTTAACAAATTATTCATTTTTCTTGTTTACATTGCCAAAACAAATCGTGAGTTTAACAATTTCTTAGTTAAGATCTTTCATGCCAAAAAGTTATTCAATTTTTAAATTTTCACAAATATATTTTTATTTCATAAAGTACTAATTTCATTAAGGAGCCAAAATTAACCAACACTGGACTATGCAGATCAATCAGGATCTAAGATTTAAATTTTTTAAACTGAGAAAACTTAGGCACAATTTACAAATTTGCTAATTATTTGTCCCCGTATAACCCTTGGGTGTGGCTGTATATACGTTTATATTACACGTGTGACATCAGCTGAACCAGGAAGAAAATCTCCTGCTCTAAGTACATTTTTACAACTGTTGTCTCCAGTCAAGTAAGACTATAGAGAAAAAGTGATTAATTCTGGAACTCACCGAGAAGGTTCTAGATCAAGACACAAGACTCTAGTAGCATTGTCTTATTTATTAACATAATCGAAACATTTTGCTGATAAAACCCTTGTCCGTGACTATTCTAGCAACAAAATTTTACTCAAAATACTTCACTGTGGAATGGTATTGCAACTTGAATGTAGTTTTTAATCAATGAATTGATTTCCATAAAGCAAATTTTACTCTTAAAATGGCAGATTATGTGACCAAAAAGTGATTCGAAAAAAGCTTCCCCCTCCCCATGCCAACCCTCAAGACCACGTGGCTCAAGCTGAGCCCTGGGTCCTGGGACTAGACGGAAGGTGAAAGGAAAGAGCCGTAACTCTTCCCTAACTAACCGAAACAGGCTAATAGGACACTCCAAACTCACACTACAGAGAAAGCACATGGAGGGTTGAGTTTTCTGGGCAGCTAGGAGGGTGCAGACTGGATGACCTGGGCAGAGCACGTTCACCATCATTACCACGATGCTATTCCTAAGGTGTCCTAACTGTCTGAGCTGCAAAATTGGGTCCTGTCTCCACCCTTCCCACCTCACCTGTTGGCCTTCTTGCAGTAGCCCTGGGAGAGATCCTGAGCCTTTCATATCCTCCTGTTTTATTTTTGCATTACTCTTTTGATGAATAAAATATAATACCACGCTTCTCTGTCTTAGTCCCCTAAAAATGTGTGTGTGTATATCCGTTTGGGGAGAGTAAATTTGGGCTGTATGAGTCGTTTCTCCCTGTGATTATTTGCCTTTTGCTGTAGTGTGATTCTATTTAATTCGAAGAGCAAGTTCTTTAGTTCTGAGAAGCTGGAGCTTGAGACGAGAGAACGTGAGGGAAAGGTGGGCTAAGCTGGGACAGGAAGAACGCGTCTCCAGAAGCTCTAGCTCTGGGTTTCAGGCACTTCAGTAAGAGACTTTCCTCCCCTGTTCCTATGTACATTCAAGGAAAATGAAAAGGCTGGATGGAGGCTACCTGGGGTTGGAATGTGTGTGTGACTGAGGTACCCACTAGCAGCACAGACCCCCCAAGGACCATTCCTTAAGGAGAGAGTCATTGACACACAGGGCTTTTCTCCTGCCTGTTCTTACTCATGTCAGCCACTTTCAGAAAAATGGGAGGGACATTTTTTGTTGGCAGGCAGGAAATGAGGCTCCAGACCCCTTTTGACACTATCATTTCAGTCCATGCCTTCCTCACCATCTCTGAGCCATGCCAATCCCAGGTTGGTCTTTGTAGGAAGGGGCAGGACTCCAGGGGGGAAGTTGGGGCCTAGAGGTCATCCTGTTGGCACCTGGGCACAACTTAACACTCTGAATCATCTTTCTGGCATTGGCTTTGGCCAGGTCACAGTCACAACGTCCTGCCCTGCACTCAGAGAGGTGCTCTGACCTTCCCCCAGCAAATGAAGAATGGGGTGGTGTGTGGAAATGATGAGCCAACTCAGAAGGGGACTAACACAACCCCTGTGGTCCCCCAGGATAAAATCTGTCCCATTTTGTTCCTAGAAATCTACTTCTGCTACACCTGTTCTTACTCTCCCTCCCCACTCTCACATGCCCTCCTGCCCTGCACTGGGGGTGCAGAGCCAGCCGGTTCCTTCTTGTGAGCTGTCGACAAAATGGGGCTTGATTAGAGTCCATCAGAGTAACAAAGTGTACCAAACAAAAACAAAACAACAGAAGAAATCTGGTCCTTAAATAGACAGATATGATGTTGATGGGGGCGGGAGAGGGAGGGGGGAAAAGGGGGAATGGGTAAAGGGACATGGAAATCAACTACATTGTATGCTGATAAATAAAAAAAAAGAAAAAGACATCTAGTCTTTCTCAGGTCACTCATGTGAATCCTCGTAAACTCTATCCATAAACTCCAGATCCTTAAAGATGCCATATTTCCCTGAATGAGAAAATTCAGCTCCCTGTTTTCCTTTGGTTTGTTTCCTGGCTTATGACTGTTTTGCCTGGTCCAAGTCTCTTCCCGCTTTCTCTCCTGAGCACTTTCTGGATCTTCCTTACCCTTCAACAAAGCCATCCTTTCTTGGATTCAGAGGGTCAGTTTCTGAGACTTCTTCCAAACTGTTGAGATTTCTTGATTTCTAAGGGAAACCTAGCTATGGCCTTCCTTGCCATGACACACTCCCCCAGGCCTGGCACTACCATGCCATGTGTGGGGAGCACCTGGGACAGAGTTAGGGGAAAGATGCCAGGCTAAGGCTTGGGAAGAGTAGAAACCATATGTTACCTGATCAGCATCATGGAGAATTCAGGCACAGAAACCATGTGGAATGATGGCCTAAGGGTCAAGGAAACAACGTCTTCTTGTCAGGCTCTCCACTTGCTGTGTGACCTTGGACCAGCCATTTAATCCCATGCATCTTGCCCCCTTACCCTTTAAAGGAGAGTGTTGGATGAACTGAGCTCTAAAGTTTGTTTCAGTTTATTATTCCATGATCCTTAACCAAGTACTGAGACCCAAGAATAAGATCTTCCTTCCTTCCTCTGAAGATTATTTCCATAATCCAAGAGGAATAACACCCCCTCTGGAGGCTGCTCTACCATGCTTTTCTGTTGAATCCAGTTTCTTTTTCTGGAGACAATTGAAGGATATTGCAGATGTGTGGAATTACAGAAATGTGTGGTTAAAAATGTTGTCCCTTGTTTCAGGTCTCACCTGGTCCCTCCTGGGCTATAGCTGGTACTAGGTTTCAGTACAAGTATCCAAATACTCTGGGACCATTCCCCAAAGACAACCAGAAACCCAAGAGCCAGAGACCAGGGAGAGACACAAAGCACAAGAGATTAATTTCCTTTAGGCTCTCCAAGCAGGACATGAGTAAGGCCCTAACAACCAGAGAAGAATCCGCAAAACTGTCTCCAGGGGCAGAGAGGAAGGTAGGAAATTAGGGGGAAAAGGGGTAAAACAGCTTAGTGGTTCCTGACCTCTCCAAGATCTCTCTTCTGTGAACCCACTGCTCTGACAGGCAGGTTTCCTCAGGCAGTTCCTGTGGCTGATGGTCTCTGCAGGAGATATGACCAGCCCAGAAACAAGGCCAAGGCACCGCTTCTCAAGAAGGAATTGACCTCAGGCTCCGCCTGTGTTACCTCAGCTAGAGTGGGTGAGAGTCATCAGTTCCCATCAGGGGAACAAATTGCTCTCTCCTAGCTCACCCCAGACTTAAACTATGACAGAGTCATTTCCCAGTCAAACAAGCAATAAATAAATCCAATTAGCAAAAATTCCTAGGGGTGAGTGAATTCCTAGCAATTTTTTTTTTTAAAGAAATGTCTGCATGATCAGGATTTGGCCTTGATTGTGTGATTCTTCTCAGATGTGGGAGTGTGACTAGCATGGCCTCCAGGGGCTTAGATGGTGATCTGAAGAAATGCCTGGGCTGGCAGGGACCACATAAGTCAATGCACACGTGCCACTGGGAAATGAGGATGGACTAGCTCTGTGTGATCACAGGTCCAGAAGCATCAGGAAAACGAATTCTGAAACTAAGGAAATGGACTCAAATTCTTCTGAGAAACCCTACTAACTATTCCCAGACTTGCCTCTAGGGTTTCAGGACCTGGAAGTCTCACTCCTGACCAAAAGCTGCTGCTGCTGCTGCTGCCGCTGCCGTGTGCACGTGTGTGAGTGTGTGGGGGGGCGTGTTGGAGAAGTGGAGGTGGCCCCCGTGCACTTACTGAGTGCTGAGACCGGCTACACTGTCCTACCAAAGGGAAGTAACACCACAGGAGTGCATCAAGACTACAAACATGAAGAACCGTGGACTCTGATTACACCCAAGTTCTACAAAGATTGAACAACAACAACAAATAAACAAATAAAAAGAAAAGAAAAATAGCCCTTTGTGGTAAAGGGCATGCTGGGAAGGCGAGAGCCAGAGCCGCCTCCCCAGAGCATGCTGGGAGACGGACACCAGTACATCTCCAAAGACTGCACTTCCTCCAACTCCCACCCCTATTTCCTCACCCACCCCCAACCCGGAGACTAGAGGAAAGTTTGTTCCAAGATGACTGTGGAATAGGAAATGCCATGGTTCTCTGCAGGTCCCCCACACTGTGGGGGGTTCAGTCAGCAAGTGGGGAGAACAGTCAAGATGAGGAGATGGAGAAACAGAGAGGCGGGAGAGAAACGGGGACTGGCAGAGGCTGGAGGGCCCAGTGTGTTGGCCGAGGACGAGGGGAGAGTGGAGCGGAGGGCTGTGTGGCTGCTAGCCGGAGGCGTTGATGTACAGCTGGCTCTTGAGGATGTAGTCGATGACCGGCTGGGACAGGTAATCCACGACATGGCCGTCCCCATGCTGCAGGGCCAGCCTGCATGAGAGAAGATGGTAATCAGAAAGACATCCACACCTGAAGCAAGTCAGGAGGACTGGCCTGCCCACTGTCATTCAGGAAAAGGGTTTACAGGTGTCTCCCCAACACCCCATTACCAGCCTTGGCTCAGGTCGAGTAAATGGTATCTGTGTTAGGAAAAGCCCTCTTGCCCCACAATCCTCCCCAGCCCTGGTAACAGCACTTCATCCTGGCTCTGCCACTTCCTAGCTGAGAGCTTGAGCCGGTTATTTTTTTTATTATTTTTATTTTTTCCTTTTTGTCTTTTTTTTTTTCGTGACCGGCAACAGATCACAACCCTCAGTGTCGCGCCCGTACCGGACTGGGACCGGCAATGGGGTCGCAACCCTCGGTGTTGCGCCCGCACCTCGCTCAGCCAGTGAGCGGCCAGTCTGTATGTGGGATCTGAACCCTCGGCGGGAGCGCCA